ATGCTCTCATAAGCATGGCAGCATTTAGAGCTGTACGGCAAGCCAAAAGATTAATTATATAAGAGAAGTTGAAATGATAAAAACTGACATAGCATTAAGCTATAGAGCTGTGACACTGCATGGGTACGGAAGAGGGTTCGAGCAACATGTACATTTTTATTTATTTAGATCTGACAAAAAGTGATGTCTTTTTTTAGTTCTGAAATTAGAGTCAAAATAGATTGTTGATTTATTTGTTCTTACATGTGGCCCTAATCATCTTCCATACCTGGGAGAATCTAATAAACAAAATGATAGAGTATACCAGGTTCTAGCACTTTCCTCAGGCCTTGAAGGCTCTGAAACACGTGGAGCCTCTCATTGGGCTTGTTTTGGTAAGACAACATGTGGGACTTTGAACTGTTGATTAAGTTATTTCAAAGGTAATTCAACTTTGTTAATTAATTGTATTTTATATGTATGTTGTTTGAATTTTCAGGCTACAGTAGTAGAGAGTACATATACACCCAACCAAAACTAAAACACGAGGTAACCTTGACTTGTTTCCTCATTCTGAGGATGTGGTAAATAGATAGTAAGAAAACGTCTATCTATAGAAGGTGTCATTACAAGGTGGAATGTTACATATTTTCAGTGGTAAAACCATGCCATGCATTCCTATGATGATCTCAATTTAAAACCTATTAAAAAAACTATTTAACCATGATAGTTGCAGCAGCCTTAAAAAAACAGCACAAATGATGAGCTATAAACCAGTGTGATGCAAAGCAGCCGGTGGACACGTTATATGGTATCAGTCCTCAATACAGTCATCCAATATGTAACAAATGTATTTTATACGTTTTTTTAAATTATGTTAGATGACTGGAACCTGCCCAGAACTGAGATTTAGTTACTAACTTGGAATGTCATAAGCTATTTTCTAACATGCTAAGAGATCCTCTTATGTGAGTCAAAGAGAAGCAGTTTGTTTTCCGGCAGGGCGGAAATACACAGCTCAGATTCCAACACTTCTGTGCTTCCTGAAATGAGTCAAGTCAGTTTTCACCAAACAATGTAAACTTTATAATGATTATATGATTATTAATGTCTTTGTGTTTTGCATTTTAGTTTGTTGCATGTATAGCCCGGGGTCTGCTTCAGTCAGTTAGTGTTGTGTAATCATGCACTTATTGGCACATGATTGATACTGGATTTTTTTACTTGGATCCATGAAGCAGGTCTTGATACCATCTCTGCTCATTTCATGTGTTGAAAAGTGAATGCTGTCCAACTGCATTCTTACCCTCACTGTGCAGCGGAGAGACGCACATACGTCTCACTGTCTCTACACCTTCTACACTGTCAAAAACACACATAACCTCTACAGTAACAAATTACATCCGCTCAATGTAATTCAGTACAATAGGCATTCCAAGCATTCTGCATTTATTACCCAGCAGCACCTCTACTTCCATAAGCATTCTACCAGAAACGGGGTAATCATATATCCATCATCATATCTGCACCGGCATGAAGCAGGACATTAAATGAACCAACCCTCCAACATGAAATAATTAAGAAATAATCAATGAACAGGTTACATATCTCTTCAGTGCTTCTCAGCCATACATAGGCTTGATTACTTCTTATTGTGCAACAATGTTCACTCCTCTTTGAATTACAGCCAGACAATGATGGGTGAAGCACAGCAAGTACCATCTTGCACAAAATATTAATTAATCCAGGAGCGGTTTGGTTTGACTCAGTCATGAAATGTTTTTTGTTTTACACTTGTGGCCTCCTGCATTGTTATATGTCATTCAAGATGACATTGTCACATGTATACATCCATAAGTCATGTGTTCATGCAGCATGGTGACAGACCAAATTTCAATTAAAGAAAATAGCAAAGAAGATAACTGGGATTTAAGACAAAACCACCTCAAATGTGCTGCTATTTACTCTTCACCTGTCCTTAAAAGTATTGTGCTGTAGATTGTGTCCTTATTAGGAAATCCATGTGCTAGCTAAAGCAGTCAGTGAGGCCACTGCCTTGAGCAATAAGTTAACTTGGTTTAAAGACTGAAAAATGCCTGGTATCTGGATTAGCTCAGGTATTCTGCCTCAGAGCTACACTGTGGAATGACTAATGTAATAAAACTCGTACCATACACATTCATCTTCTAAAAGTGTTGTCAAAGAAGATGACACTCAGATGTTGCTCCTTGTCTTGTGAACAGAACCAGAATCCTGCATTAGGGATTGCTAATTTGAAGCGAGACCTTGTGACTTTAAGGGCGCTTTTTCATTGCAACATTAAATCGGTTTTAGTCTGGTGTAGTTCAACTCCTGTTATGGTTGGTTTGAACAATTTGAGCACAGTAATAAGCTCTGTTGCATCCTGAGACTGAGGTGGCCTCAGATTGTTTACAAGACAACCCTATGGAGCATTTTTATTCTTTATTTGAGTGTATTATTCCATTTTATGAGCATGACTCCTTAATTTCACATTTAGATTTTGAAGCACCCCTTAAACCATGCCCTTACATTCAAAAAGCCCCTGCTTGTTCTTATATTGACAGGAAATAAACCAACACTTTATCAGGCAATGATCAGAACTAGAGCAAAAGTAAGCATTTGCAATGTGTGTACTTAATAAGAACGGCTGGAATGAATGAGTTCCGTTTTTATTTGTTAAAGGAAAAAATAGCAATTTCTTTCAAAAATGAAATGGTCTTGTTTTAAAGTCACCCATACATTTAACTTGAATTGGTGCCAGTAAAGGAATGAAAGATATATCCCGAGCATTTGAGCACCCTCATACACTGGCTACAGCCCTGCTTCTTTAAGGGCCTTTATGAGTGTGTCGGCTGGGGCGTGGCTCCTCTCCAGGCTCCCGGTTTTACACACACCTGCCTGAAATGAGCTCATCACTTCCCTCAGCTCACTCACCTGACATCCATCATCTCTCGGTTTTTCAGTCGGCTCTTCCTCCACTCATCGCCCCGCATTGCAGCCTTATTACTGGGATCCCTCAGGGCTCTCTTCTTGGTCCCCTTATTTTTTCTCTTTAGACAAGCCACTGATAAGGATACATGTTATTTTATTCAAATGTATATTTGAACCGTACAAAAAACAGACATTTGAATATGGAAATTAATAATAAATCGTTAACAATTAGAACAATTTAGTATTACCACAGCCGTCTGCCTTACAGTCTCACCATTTCCACTTCACTGAATGCTCTGCATGACTTATGAGTCATACAAAGTCCCTTTTATGAATTTAAATTAAGGGAACTTAAATTCAAGCTGAACAAAGAATTATTCCAACAACAGCCATAAGGATGACAGATAATTCAGCCAGTGACACCCTGTCCTTACAGTAAGTGTGCATGCCCTTCTGTCACGCTAAATAAACAAATCGCATACCGATCAGCTGTGCGCAAGACCTGCAGGAGGAACCTTGGGAGAGTAGAACTTGCAATCTTCCTGCAAACTTCTACTTGCAAACACTTTACATATTTTGATATTTACTGGAAATTACATAGAAAGTAGCCAACAGCTAATAGAAGAACTTCAGCTCTCCAGAGATGTTCCTTTAGCCAGCTACCGCTTCATGGTTTTTGTAGTGAAAATTATTTTGTGCGAGTGGACACATTGGCACTATTCAGGAGGAAAATCATTATATCTTGAACACAGTTAAGTAATAAATCCACAGGTACCGTTAGTTACAGATCTTGCTTTTTTTCTCACCACTTTTTTTTTATCACTTTACATTTTTATGTCCGCTACCAGGGGATAGCTTCTGTAAGCTATGCCCCTCAGTGGCTGCTTGAATCTGGTACTGGGGCTCGGACCCATCCTACATTGGTAAATCCAAACATCCCAGCCTCTCCACTACACTCCGCTTCAGCCATCGACATGCTACCGTCTCAGTCAGATGGTGGTCGGTGAAGGTCTCGATCTATAATAATCTGTTCCCAATTTAACCAAAATTAACACTTTCACTATCTCCTATTTGCTCTAAATGTAGTGCTTGATGATGTTAATTGAACCACATATTTGCATGCACTTATTTTAACCTGCCTTGGATTCAAATGACAGTCAAAAGATTTAACTTAAGTGGTCATAAAGTCAAGTATGAGAAGCACTGTCTTATATCAGCTCATCATAAGAGTAAACAGGTTGAACTACTCATAGATAAGTGGGAGTCGACACATGGAGAGCATTTCTGGCAAATCAAAAGGCTAAAAAAGCATGCAAAAGCACACACTCAATCTGAGAGAACTAATTCTGTTCACCTCAACACTTCAAAACCTGTGCTAAAGCAAACAGGTGAAGGCACACTCCACATGCACAAGACATAGGAAGTCAGCAGTCTCATCGTCCTGGATCCTGAGTCCCGGATCCTGTATCCTGAGTCCTGGATCCTCTATCCTGAGTCCTGGACTTCGAGTCGTGGCTGAACCTATCACTGTGGTCCTGCCTGACTCATCATACTACTTCCCTGATGGCTCCCACAGGATTGTTGACATCCTCGTGGATTCTTCTTCTTATTATAGACACATGCATTTCCAGACATTTGGTCTACCTATGCTGTAAATGTATTATCTCTTCGATTTACACACGGCATCTATTGCACGTCTGTCCGTCCTGGGAGAGGGATCCCTCCTCTGTTGCTCTCCCAGAGGTTTCTCCCATGTTCCTTTAAACTGTGGGGTTTCTCTGGAAGTGTTTCCCTGTACGATGTGAGGGTCTAAGGACAGAGGGTGTCGTATTGTCATACTGATACTCTGTACAAACTGTGAAGTCCACTGAGACAAATGTAACATTTGTGATATTGGGCTATATAAATAAACATTGATTGATCGCCACATTCTTTAGCTCGCATGTGGGTAGGGCATTTTCAGTAAACACTAAAGTATGCATTGTACATTTTTACCAGGTGACATTCTTTGACTCTTGTGTTGAAGCAGGATTAGATAACAGCAAGAAGATGCACAATATACAATTGCATCAGATTACAGTTGCTTTATTTAAAACTATACATTCAAAACATAGGTTGATGAAAAATCATTAACATACACGGTATGATGATAAAAGATTCTCTTCCACACACTGCTCTTAGTAAAACACTCAAAGCTTCCTTTAGAAGCTGGGGGTAGAGTTCATGTCCAGCTGAGGTTGAGTTTGACAGGAGACATGGGCTCTCCTTTCTGACAGGCAGTCCTCTTCTGGCTATCTCTGGAAAACACAACAGGGGGGTTTCAGAGTTGTTGCATTATGAGCCATGTCACTGATAAGAGTTACTGAATCACAGTCAGGACGTTACAATTGTCAGCTTGGTTACATTTCTTGATATATCTAAGTTGGAGTGGGTCCAGCCTAACCTAACACCTTCCTCTCTCCTTCAGAGACAATGTTTTTAACAATGTTTTTAACAATGTGAATCGAGTTTATGCATCAGGGTGAAAAAACCTTCTAATGTGATGAATAGGTTGAACATGTTGAAAACACACCCACACTCTATTGGACTAAAGAGCTGATTAAAGGAAAGCAAGCGTCATGCTGCCAGGGGGTTTTCTCACAACCTGGCAAGCTAAAAGTGTTCTTATCACATTGGGGTGTATCAGTGGCATGCCATCAGAAAGGTACTAATCACTGTGTACACTCATGAGAAATATATGTATCCCTTGAAGCAACTGTTCATTTGGATGTTTTACAAATGCACATTCTGCAGCTCTTAAACTTTAAACCTGATGATGCAGATTTAAGTGACATACTCAAGAATGACATGACCTTTGACACTGTTAAGTAATGATGGATATGTGGACATCACTTTAGATTTTGTTCAAAATAAAGTAAAATATGTTGATTGAATATCATCTTTGATAATAACAGCATCCTAATAAATGGTCTAATCCATAGTGTAGTGTGTTGCCATTAATATTTTCCTACCTTGAATGTGTACTTTTTTTATTTTAATTTGTAAACATGTGCTTGCCCCTCATTTATGACTGTTTTGTTGTTTTTGTCTCATCTGTACCGTCCCTGTGCTGTAACAATGACTACTACATGTCCTCTCTGTGGGACAAAAGAAGGAACTTAGAACAAAGCATAACAACTCATTCTAAAGTGGTGACATTAGGGTTTGAAGGAATTACAGAGCATTTTATACACAAGTAAACATCACACTGATAAATAATATAGTGAAATATGAATGTATGCTACCTGAGATTTAAGGCTTATTTAAGAGCCAGTGTGGAGAAATAGTAAAACTCATGTAACCTTCTTTTATTTTGGATTTAATTAAATCTTTGAATATGACCCAGGAAATCAGTGGACCCACTCATGTAAAAGGCCACACTCTGGACCTAGTACTTTCTTCTGGTTTTAATGTTGAAAATGTGGATCTGTATGAGGCAAGTCTATGTGTATCTGACCATAAAGCCACTACTTTTAACTGCCTCCTCACAACATCTACCTCTGCCCGTGTCTTTAACATTAAAACATCAAAAACTTTTTTTTAAACGCCTCAGAAACCGCACTTATCAAAGTCACAAATGACCTTTTAATTGCAACAGATTCTGCCACATTTGAATCCTTTTAGATCTTAGCTCAGCATTCGATACAGTTGATCGTGTTATCCTATTAGATCGTCTTGAAAAATGGGTAGTCATCAGGGACACTGCTCTCAAATGGCTAAAATCCTATCTATCAGATCGAACATTTTCTGTTTCAATTGGGGATGCCGCCTCCACTGCAGCGTTCCCCAGGGTTCTATTCTTGGACCGTTATTATATCATACAAAAACACAATATTCTATATCACTGCTATGCGGATGATACACAAATATATTTCCCATGAAACTGCAGAGATAAAAGCAATGTGAACGAGCTGTTATCTTGTTTGGATGAAATAAAGTGCAGGATGGCCCATAATATTTCTCCAGTTAAATGACAATAAATCAGAAGTACTCATTTTTGGCCATCCTAAACCTACCCCTTCTCCGTAAATACATCTGGGCTCCCTGTCCTCAAACATAAAACCTGTAGACAGAAACCTTGGTGTGATGTTTGATAGGGACCTCTCTTTTAATCTGCAAATCACAAAAGTTATTCAATCGTGTTTTTATCAAGACGTTATCTCCCGGTCTGATTTGGAGACAGTCAGCCACGCTTTTATCTCTTCACGTCTCGATTACTGTAACTCCTTAAACTCTGGATTAGGCCAATAATCTATATTGCGCCTTCAACTTGTGCAAAATGCCGCAGCAAGATTTTTAACAAATCAGAAGTCTAGACCACATGACCCGTTTTAATCTCTCTTCATTGGCTACCTGTCTGTTCTGTCATTGATTTTAAGATTTTACTGATTACTTTTTAAGCTCTTAACGGTTTGGTTCCTGATTACCTCCCTGAATTGTTGTGCACGTACGAGCCATGTGCGCAGTCTCACATCCTGCTGGCTGTTCCCAAAGGCTAAAAATAAAAGGTGACGGAACGTTATCCTTCAGAGCTCCACAGCTCTGGAACTCCCTGCCCGAGAATCAGAGGCTGGCAGAACCAGTGACATCTTTTAAATCACTTCTTAAAACTCACCTTTTTATTAAAGCTTTGAACTAACGATGACACCACTCTGTTTTACTCAACATCCATGTTCTATTTGTTTTACTTTCTTTTTCTGTATTATTTCTGCTATTGTTGAAACGCTGTATATTTTATTAGCTGGGTTTAGGGAATTTTGACCGCATGCTTTGCTGCCGCCTGAACGGCCTGTTCTTTATCCATGTAAAGCACTTTGTGACTTTGTGCTGTATAAATAAAGTTATTATTATTATTAAAATAACAATGACAAACAGTACTCAGATTTCTGCTCAAAGATATACGTTGTGTCAAAGAAATGGCCTGTTTAGTCACTGTTTGGCATCATTTGCACTTTAACAGAAAATTATCAAAATATGAGATTACACAGATCTGTGCAGATCAGGCTTTTAAACCAGAATGTAGAATGAGAAGCAGAATACAATAACTAGGTTGCACTCAACAACAAACATAGGGTTGTTCACAGTCCGGTGCCCACAGATGACACGGTGCGTGGTGCAGAACCAAAGTTCACAAACACGGGTTCTACCTGGAAACTGCTGTTCTACTTAGGCAACATGTGCTGGAGGTAACAACAAGCTGATTGGCATGAGAGTCACTATGCTGAGCGAGATTTAAATGCAGAGCTTAAAGACACCGGACGAGTTCTGCTCTGCTACAACAGGATGAGAGGGTGTGTATAAGAAGAGGATGGTGTGCCTCGAACTAAAGCAAAACCGGACAAAACTAAAAAAATACTCCTCCTGATGCATGTTTTATTTTATATTATTGAATTTATAATTCTAATTCACAGCAAAAGAGATGCTTTTCAGTTGTATAGTCGATCTGTTGTCTTTTGGGTAGTGTTTGAAATGTTCCTCACTTTCAAATGAAAATACATCAGCAAAGTTACCAGAATGCAAAATGTTACATCAATCCTGAGCAAGTTCATTTGGCAGTCTTTGATACTTGCAACTGTGTTTGTTTACACTTCTCCGCTGTACAGAACTCACCAAACAACTGTGTACTGTTAAACCTCTCGTCTTAACTGAATAACAAAGCTGTTAATCACCAATATAGAAACTACTAAAGACAGTTTAGTTGGCCTCAGTTGAAACAGTCTGCCAGAAAAAACATTCTGATGTACGATGAGACATCCAGTTGGTATGGATGCCTCATGCAGCAATACGTCCATGGTATGCTATCAGATGACTGTTTAACATTTTTGTGTTTCCACTTCCATGTGTGCCATGACGATTCCTAGGCAACTTTGTTTTAAGACTAATTTTCCTAAATCATGTAAGACAGTGATTACACTCATATATTTAATATTGTATTTATTTACAAAGTAACTTGCGTAATTCTGTTTTACTTTTTGAAGCTGAAGTTCTTCCACAGGTTGCTGATGGTGGCCTGCACACCCGGGTTGTTCTCGTTATTGGAGGTGTTTTTCCCAGAACCCACAGGCTTTCTCCTCAGTCCACTGGCCCTGGCGGGGCCCAACGTCCGCGCCTTTGCAGCTGGACTTTGGCTGCTGGACTTTGGCCGCGATAGACCTGAAACCTGGAGGTAGAAAGACCAAGAGTGGAAGATAATATTAGAATATAGAGGGACATTAACACGAGGGATATTGAACCCCAAAAAAAACAGTTATCCAGGTAACAGAATCGAAGTAGCAAACACACCAAAAAAAAGAAGATCCGTCCTCATATCATCAGTCTACCATTTTAAAAACTAATATGGAGGAAAGGGGAGAGGCGGGTGCGGAGACAATTAACAATCAGGCCAACTGTAGAAAAGACCCTCTCAGCTGGAACAGAGGTTGCGGGTATAGCCAGGTATTCCTTCGCCAGGACACTGAGTTTTTTTGTATCGTTCTTTGTTTTTCCTCCACCACTGTAGTCGGTTTTGCTGTGGTGGCTCACTGAAATAGGGTTCTACTTCATTGTATTCTGGGTCTGCGGTGAAATAGTAATCCCCAAACGGGGTGGAACGATGCGGGTCTGCGGTCGTTGCTGCAGCTGGGCTGGTTCTCGCTGTCTGACCCTGGCTGCGCTGGTGCCCTCAGCCTGGAGCGCATGGTCAACAACGCCAGCAGCGGTATCATCGGCGGCTCGTCCTTATACATTTCGGACAGGTTTTCTCTGATCTCCGAGAAGAGAGGCTGCGCTACAAAACAGAGGTGTTTGTGTTGGGGATCCAGATATCTTAAATGGCATCTTCATATACATTAAATGAATCAACTTGGTAATATGTAATCTTCTTAGGCACACCTCCCATTAAAAAATTATATATATATATATATATATATATATATATATATATATAATTTTTTAATGGGAGGTATATACATAGGGACACTCCTCCTAATCATTGAATTCAGGTGTTTCATTTATGCGGCTTTCACACCAGCGCTTTTCCCATTCTAGCTCCGAGCTAGAGCTTTTCTGGTTCAGCTCCGGTTTCCCTTTTCAGCTCCCGCTTTGTTCACACCGCCCAGAGCCCGGCTGGTGCTGCCGCTGCTGCGTCATGACGTCACCGTTTACATCGCTGATTTGCTCCCCAACGGCGCTCACCACAACAACAACAACAACAACAACAACGGGGGACTGCGTCGGGTCGATGATCGTGTTGCTTTTAATCATACGAAGCCAGATTAAATTAAATAACGACTTCTCCAACCTTATACTTTTCTCCAGAGTGCCGTGGTTCATTGTTTATTAATGTGTTTCAGCGGCATTTACCGACCGCTGCAGTGCTGCTGCTCTTCCACAGGAGTTTATTCTCCCGTTAGCTCCGGGTTAGCTCACACGGCTCTAAAGTATTCACTGTCTGACTGTCACACAAGCAGCTGATACATATCCCCAGTTCCCCTTAAGTGAATGTGTGTCAGTCTGAATTGACGCTGTTTGGCATCACAACGCTGTTATGAAAGTTTCTCTGGTATAACATGGGTGATGTTAGCATAGCAACCGAAGCTAAACTGACTACTTGCTATTGCTATCCTATTGTGGCATAAGCCGTTTTATACAGGGCACATTTTACCGGCGTATTTTTCATTATGATTCTACTTGTGATAGTCGGACATGACAACCTGTGCAGCCCATGTATTGATTCCATCCGATAGCTGATAATACAAAACAAAACGTCTGCCTGCTCTCCACAATGATCAATAACAGCGAACGGATGGTCAAAGTAAGGTACAAATAAACAGAATCACACGAAGCCTGGTTAGTGTTGCCTGACTAGGTAGGTCCTACCTGACAGACCGTAGCTTCTCGGTACAGCTAGGTGCCTTCTCCTCTGCCAAAGCCCCTCTTACCTGTGGGGTTCCCCAAGGCTCGATTCTGGGCCCCATCCTTTTTCTACTGTACATACTGCCCCTAGGTTCAATTCTCACAAAACATAATATTCCCTTCCACTGCTACGCCGACGATGTACAGATATATCTGCCTCTCAAAGCAAATGTCAAACACTCACTACAGCAGTTGATGGACTGCTTAACAGAGATAAAATCCTGGCTGAGCAAAAACGTTCTCAACCTCAACGAGAGCAAGACTGAGGTCATCGTTTTTGGACCCCAACCTCCAGCCTCTCCGGTTGATATTCTGGGCTCTCTCAAAAAAAACATCCTCCCCTCGGTCATGAACCTTGGAGTGACCTTCACTAGCACTTTTAAATTCGACAAGCAGGTCAGCACTGTAGTCAAATCCTGCTTATTTTAAATAAGACTATTGGCCAAAACCAAGTCGTATTTATCTTTTAATGACTTAGAAAGGGTTATTAACGCCTTTGTAACCTCAAGACTGGACTATTGTAACGCTCTGTATGTGGGTATGGACCAGGCCTCAATTAAACGCCTGCAGCTAGTTCAAAACGCAGCTGCACGTTTGCTGACTGGCCACAAAAAGCGTGACCTCATCACCCCAATTCTGGCCTCATTACACTGGCTTCCAGTTCGGTTCAGAATTGATTTTAAAATCCTTTTATTTGTTTTTAAAGCACTAAATGGGCTGGCTCCGGCCTATATAGCTGAACTCCTCCAGCGCTACACCCCAGCCAGAGCTTTAAGGTCTGCTGACCAGCTGCTGCTGGTAGTGCCCAAGACCAGGCTTAAAACCCGAGGGCACCGAGCCTTCGCAGCAGCTGGCCCTAGGCTCTGGAACACTCTGCCCCTCCTTGTGAGGTCGGCCCAGACCCTAGGGGTTTTTAAATCTACACTAAAAACACACTTCTTCTCTCTGGCCTTCTAGTTAGAGCGGAGCACGACTCCTGACTTTTCCTTGTGTTTTATTTTTATATATATCTGTTGTAATTTATTGTCTTTTACTGTGATTGTAGTAATGTGTTTTTATTACATGTACAGCACTTTGGCTCGACCAAAAATCGCTTTTAAATGTGCTTTATAAATAAAACTTGATTTGATTTGATTTGATTTGACTTTATAAAGTGTGTTTTTTTTTATAAGTGTGTGGTTGCCTTCTAGTCACTTTGCTCAGCGCTACTGCTTGTAGGCAGGCATGACGAGACTCTTCAGTCGACCCATGTTCAGGGGAGGTGGGTTTAGTTTCCTGCACGCCTCAACGTAACCCCTAGATTCCACCGGGTCCGTCTGCGCCGTGGTTTTGGTCCGGCCTCCTCCGGCGTCATACCCTACCAGGCGCGTTTCAGAAGCATTTCAGAAGCGGAGCGTCTTGCCTGCCGGTTCGCAGTTTTTGTTGATTTGGGCATATTTCCTGGACAGGCTACGTTGTACAGACAAAGTTAATAATAACTGTAATATCCCAGTTATAAACGACATGAATCAAAGATGTGTTGCTGTATTTTAGTGGTAAAAAAATGCATTCATCATCATCATTATTCTATATATATATAATTTACACAGTGCCTGTAAACCAGAGGAGAACGCTGGCATTTCTCCTCCTACTTGAAAGACTACGGAGGGATAGGGTCTGCAAAATGTGTGTGTGTGTGTATATATATATATATATATATATATATATATATATATATATATATGCTATATATGCTCTCACCGTTCCACTTCCTGCCTGCCCGACCTTACGTTACGGCTGCGCCGCGTCAAAAATAGGATTCATCCTAATTTTAGAGGAGCCCTGCGCCGAGGCGCTTCTGGGAAGCTTCTGGGACGCTTCTGAGCCGTAACGCGCCGCGTGTGGTGGAATAGCACCCATTGACTAGAGTGGCCGCGATCGCCGTGAGCACCGCGGCGCAGCCGTAACGCGGCCGTAACGCGCCCGTAACGCGCCGCAGACGGACCCGGTAGAATCTAGGGGTGAGAGAGACGTAAGCGACGCCGCCTCTTAGCTCCGGAGTCTTGCTTCTAGACCGACAATTTTTTGGAGCTGGAAACTAACCGGATTCTGGAGCTAAGAGGCGGCGCCGCTGCGGTGTGAAGAGGAAAAACCGGTACTTTTCAGGCTCTAGCCCCGAGCCGGCCCTGAAAACGCGTTGGTGTGAAAGGGGCATCAGTCCCATTGCCACAAGTGTATACAATCAAGCACCTAGCCATGCAGTCTGCCTTTACAAACATTTGTGAAGGAATGAGCTCACTGAATTTGAACGTGGTACTGTAATAGGATGCCACCGTTGCAACAAGTCAGTTCGTGAAATGTCTTCTCTCCTAGATATTCCACGATCAACTGTAAGTGGTATTATTGCAAAGTGGAAACTCTAAGGAACCACAGCAACTCATAAAGCTACAGAGCGCGGGGGGGGGGGGGGTGCTGAGGAGCATAGTGCGTAAAAGTGGCCAAAGCTCTGCTGACTCAATAACTGCAGAGTTCCAGCTCTAATATCAGACCAAACTGTGGGAGCTCCATGGGTTTTCATGTCCGAGCAGCTGCATCAAGCCTTACATCACCAAGCGTCGGATGGAGGGGTGCCGCCACTGGACTCTGGAGCAGCAGAAACGTGTTCTGTGGAGTAAAGAGTCACGCTTCTCTATCTGTCCTCTGATGGACGAGTCTGGGTTTGGTGAATGCCAGGAGAAAGTTACCTTCTTTTTCTTAATGCTTCATCTTACCAGTCATTTTGGACAATTCTATGCTTCCGAATTTGTGGAAACAGTGTGGGGAAGGCCCTTTTCTGTTCCAGCATGACTGTGCCCCACAAAGCAAGGTCCATGAATGCATGGTTAGATGAGTTTGGTGTGAAAGAACTTGACTGGCCCGCACAGAGCCCTGACCCCTACCCCATTGAACACCTTTGGGATGAACTAGAACGGAGAGCCAGCCTCTCGTCCCACATCAGTGTCTGACCTCAGAAATACTCTTCTGGATGAATGGGCAAAAAATCCCACAGACAGACTCCAAAATCTTGTAGAAAGCCTTCCCAGAAGAGTGGACGCTGTTATAGCTGCAAAGGGGGACCAACTTCATATTAATGCCTAAGAGTTTGGAATGGGATGTCATAAAAGCTCCTGTAGGTGTAATGTGTAGGTGGCCCAATACTTTTGTCCATATAGGGTATATATATTTAATTAAATACACATTTTCATAACTCCTAATCGAATACCAGACTCATTTAGAATATTCGAATAATCATTCCCATCCCTAAAAAACACATTGTTAAACTGCTATGAGAAGTGAACTTGATTGACATTATCAGTTTGTTATTGTAACGTCATTACCAGCAAATCCTACCTTTGGTCTGAGCATGTCAGGTCTCTTATCTGCTTCTGCTGAGTGGGCGGGACTTTGCTCTGACTCAGAATCTTTACTTGAGTTGATTTCCTGAGGAAGCAAATGAAAGACGCATAAGAAGACAAAGTGATGCTACACGAATAGCTTTCTGCACACCCACTCATGAGCCATGAAACTCTGCTGATGATGAATGTGTGAAGGCTGACCCAACCACAAGCACTGCATAAACATTTCAAAAGGAAGTGGAAATGTGTATGAACGTACAGCTTCCTCCTGGTAGGAGGAGGAGAGGTTGCAGGTGAGGACTTCCTCTTTGTGGCAGGAAGTGGGGTGAGGCTGGGACTGGCTAAAGTAGGCGCTGTCTTGAGAAGGGGGTGAATCCGGGAGGTCCTCCTTTTCCTCTGGGTCTGGGTCAGTGGGAGAAGGAGGAGGGAGTGACGTGTCTCCAGAGGATCTGTGTGTCTTTGTAGACGAAGAAGAACTCTCCTTCTTGTAGTGAAACTGCTGCAGGGCGGCCAGGCCTGCAGAAGACTGAGGTGTTTTCTGATCAGCAGAACATGAGCTGCCAGACCAGCGGAACAGCTTGAGTCCCTGACTGGCTGAACTGGGAGATGTGGTGCTAGGCGATGGAGGTGGGCTGGGGGTGTCAACTGACGGAATGTCAGGATCGTCGCTGTCATTGGTCTGGTTGTTTGGAGAACTGTCCTGATTCACAGCTGTGGGCTCCACATCCTGAGGCAGATCCTCCCGAGCAGACTCCTTCATGCTGACACTGGCTGCTGAGCTACAACTGCTGAAGAATCTACACAGAATAAACACAACCCCATCAGGACATTAGATTGCAGTTATAAATGTGGGCACAAGAATACATCTTTTGATTAATAGGTGGGTGAAATAAAACATCCTAATTGTAAAAATAAATAAAAAAACAATAAGAAGAGGCCCCGTTCTGCTTTTGGGGTTTTCCCTTCCCTGTAATGTTTTAGTGCATGTAAATGGTCTGCAAAGGCAAACATCCCTGAGTTCCCTCCAGAGGGAGTTTCTCTCCCACACACCTCCTGCCTGAAACACCTCCATTGGACTCCTTCGTTTACTTCCAGAAAATAGTGACATCACTACGTAACACTCAGGCTTCTATTGGCTAGAGCTCCAACACATTGTACAAGGGGCGGGATATCTCTAAGCTAACCAATCACAACAGAGCCGGCCAGCTAACCAATCAGAGCAGACTGGGCTCTGGTTTCAGACAGAGGGTGAAAAGAGGTGCTGCAGCACAGACAGTATGAGAAACATAAAGAGCTATTTGAACATTAAAGCATGGAGACATGAGTAGAGACACTACATACTGATATACACCTGAACATCAGCAGGAGAGGACTCTTTAAAGTAGAGACACTACATACTGATATACACCTGAACATCAGCAGGAGAGCACTCTTTAAAGTAGAGACACTACATACTGATATACACCTGAACATCAGCAGGAGAGGACTCTTTAAAGTAGAGACACTACATACTGATATACACCTGAACATCAGCAGGAGAGGACTCTTTAAAGTAGAGGCACTACATACTGATATACACCTGAACATCAGCAGGAGAGGACTCTTTAAAGTAGAGACACTACATACTGATATACACCTGAACATCAGCAGGAGAGCACTCTTTAAAGTAGAGACACTACATACTGATATACACCTGAACATCAGCAGGAGAGAACTCTTTAAAGTAGAGACACTACATACTGATATACACCTGAACATCAGCAGGAGAGGACTCTTTAAAGTAGAGACACTACATACTGATATACACCTGAACATCAGCAGGAGAGCACTCTTTAAAGTAGAGACACTACATACTGATATACACCTGAACATCAGCAGGAGAGGACTCTTTAAAGTAGAGACACTACATACTGATATACACCTGAACATCAGCAGGAGAGCACTCTTTAAAGTAGAGACACTACATACTGATATACACCTGAACATCAGCAGGAGAGGACTCTTTAAAGTAGAGACACTACATACTGATATACACCTGAACATCAGCAGGAGAGCACTCTTTAAAGTAGAGACACTACATACTGATATACACCTGAACATCAGCAGGAGAGGACTCTTTAAAGTAGATACACTACATACTGATATACACCTGAACATCAGCAGGAGAGGACTCTTTAAAGTAGAGACACTACATACTGATATACACCTGAACATCAGCAGGAGATGACTCTTTAAAGTAGAGACACTACATACTGATATACACCTGAACATCAGCAGGAGAGGACTCTTTAAAGTAGAGACACTACATACTGATATACACCTGAACATCAGCAGGAGAGGACTCTTTAAAGTAGAGACACTACATACTGATATACACCTGAACATCAGCAGGAGAGGACTCTTTAAAGTAGAGACACTACATACTGATATACACCTGAACATCAGCAGGAGAGGACTCTTTAAAGTAGAGACACTACATACTGATATACACCTGAACATCAGCAGGAGAGGACTCTTTAAAGTAGAGACACTACATACTGATATACACCTGAACATCAGCAGGAGAGGACTCTTTAAAGTAGAGGCACTACATACTGATATACACCTGAACATCAGCAGGAGAGCACTCTTTAAAGTAAAGACACTACATACTGATATACACCTGAACATCAGCAGGAGAGGACTCTTTAAAGTAGAGACACTACATACTGATATACACCTGAACATCAGCAGGAGAGGACTCTTTAAAGTAGAGACACTATATACTGATATACACCTGAACATCAGCAGGAGAGCACTCTTTAAAGTAGAGACACTACATACTGATATACACCTGAACATCAGCAGGAGAGGACTCTTTAAAGTAGAGACACTACATACTGATATACACCTGAACATCAGCAGGAGAGGACTCTTTAAAGTAGAGACACTACATACTGATATACACCTGAACATCAGCAGGAGAGGACTCTTTAAAGTAGAGACACTACATACTGATATACACCTGAACATCAGCAGGAGAGGACTCTTTAAAGTAGAGACACTACATACTGATATACACCTGAACATCAGCAGGAGAGGACTCTTTAAAGTAGAGACACTACATACTGATATACACCTGAACATCAGCAGGAGAGCACTCTTTAAAGTAAAGACACTACATACTGATATACACCTGAACATCAGCAGGAGAGGACTCTTTAAAGTAGAGACACTACATACTGATATACACCTGAACATCAGCAGGAGAGGACTCTTTAAAGTAGAGACACTATATACTGATATACACCTGAACATCAGCAGGAGAGCACTCTTTAAAGTAGAGACACTACATACTGATATACACCTGAACATCAGCAGGAGAGGACTCTTTAAAGTAGAGACACTACATACTGATATACACCTGAACATCAGCAGGAGAGCACTCTTTAAAGTAGAGACACTACATACTGATATACACCTGAACATCAGCAGGAGAGGACTCTTTAAAGTAGAGACACTACATACTGATATACACCTGAACATCAGCAGGAGAGGACTCTTTAAAGTAGAGATGCTGCATACTGATATACACCTGAACATCAGCAGGAGAGGACTCTTTAAAGTAGAGACACTACATACTGATATACACCTGATCATCAGCAGGAGAGGACTCTTTAAAGTAGAGACACTACATACTGATATACACCTGAACATCAGCAGGAGAGGACTCTTTAAAGTAGAGACACTACATACTGATATACACCTGAACATCAGCAGGAGAGCACTCTTTAAAGTAGAGACACTACATACTGATATACACCTGAACATCAGCAGGAGAGGACTCTTTAAAGTAGAGACACTACATACTGATATACACCTGAACATCAGCAGGAGAGCACTCTTTAAAGTAAAGACACTACATACTGATATACACCTGAACATCAGCAGGAGAGGACTCTTTAAAGTAGAGACACTACATACTGATATACACCTGAACATCAGCAGGAGAGGACTCTTTAAAGTAGAGACACTATATACTGATATACACCTGAACATCAGCAGGAGAGCACTCTTTAAAGTAGAGACACTACATACTGATATACACCTGAACATCAGCAGGAGAGGACTCTTTAAAGTAGAGACACTACATACTGATATACACCTGAACATCAGCAGGAGAGCACTCTTTAAAGTAGAGACACTACATACTGATATACACCTGAACATCAGCAGGAGAGGACTCTTTAAAGTAGAGACACTACATACTGATATACACCTGAACATCAGCAGGAGAGGACTCTTTAAAGTAGAGATGCTGCATACTGATATACACCTGAACATCAGCAGGAGAGGACTCTTTAAAGTAGAGACACTACATACTGATATACACCTGATCATCAGCAGGAGAGGACTCTTTAAAGTAGAGACACTACATACTGATATACACCTGAACATCAGCAGGAGAGGACTCTTTAAAGTAGAGACACTACATACTGATATACACCTGAACATCAGCAGGAGAGCACTCTTTAAAGTAGAGACACTACATACTGATATACACCTGAACATCAGCAGGAGAGGACTCTTTAAAGTAGAGACACTACATACTGATATACACCTGAACATGATCATAAGACAAATACTTCAAGACAAACACTTCAAACCCTGGATGTGTGTATAATGTGCCACTAGATGCGTGTCAATACAACAGTGGTGTGCAACAGTACATGGGACTGCCGCTCGCCAGTGCTAACATCAACAGCCATGATATCTAAATTGAAAAAAACGATTCATTTAGAATGGATCATGTGTTGTGCAGTTGTGCACCAGGCCATTGTTCTCTGCTCCTTGCTCTCAGCAGCAACACCACACAGGGCTGCACCATGATTCTTTTCCCCCCTCTCTTTGGACATTTCTCTGATTGCTGCATGTCTGATGGGCTGGGCTGAAAGTTAGGCACTGCCCGGGTTTGGACTTGATGTATGCAGATTGAAAAACACAATTGCCTTTTTGACTTGTTTTTGGTGTATTTACACCCTTCCTTTCATATGGACAAGCACTATTTTGTAGCAACCCAATCACCCAAAACACTTTAAAATGCAAGATGTAAAGGGGCCTCCATTATGTCACCTGCTGCATGTGGCCTGGCCGTCCTCCTCAGGCTCCTGGTTCCTCCTCTGCAGCAGGGTGGCGAATCGGTTGCGGGGCCTGGTTATTGTTGGCTTCTCTGGAAGCTGGTCTGACCTGGATCTCTTCTGAGTGGGGGACGAGTATTGCTGCAGCACATCCTGGTCCGATACACTAGAGTCTTTAAGGGGTACAGTACAGTGAACATGTCATAATAGGCTTCACACTGCTGCTTTAATTTGTTTTGCTCTATTATCTTGGTTCTGCTGTTTTCTGCCACAGAGATTCCGTTTACTTAACAAATACATTAATCGCAGACACATTCTTTTTGAAGGATTGGATATAGATATTTATTTATCTAAGGACTCTCAGAAGCATTGTCAGTACATTGTTCCACAGCTTGCAGTGATCATCATCTATCATAACTATTATTCAGATTGTTGTGCAGTAGTGTGTGTACTGGGAGGTTTAAATGGGTGCAGTGTGTTAAAGGATATGCAGCAAACTGCACATCACACGTTAACAGCTCACCTTCTCTGGGTCTCTTCACCTGCAGCTCTCTGCAGGGAAGCCTCAGACCGACCAGGCTGACGACTCTTTCCTTCCCCCTGGTGGAGGACGGCCTGTCTGGGGAGGCAGCAGGCCGGGGCGGGGCAACACATGCTGCCTTTAGGCCTCCACTCCAGATACTGGGCCCAGTGGGGGCTGCTGAGCTGTTCCAGCTGCGACTGCGGGGTTTAGAAAGCTAAAAAAGGGACATTTGCTGAGTTATTCTATACGAAATATGACACTTATTTCAAAAGAACAGCTGATCTGGTACCTGCTGAATGGGTTTGTCTGGGCTGAAGTCGTCTATCCTCTCCAAGGTGTTGATGTCAAGGTTTCCCAGGGCCATCTGCGAGCCTTTGTCATCTCCTAGATTACTGAGTTCATCATCATCAAGGAATGGATAGTGTGCAAGTGAATGAGAGTTACTTACAATTCCACATTTCTAAATAAAATAGAACAGCTGGACACTGTATCATTTCCACTATTTACAGTGGTAATTTGGTTAGGAGCGATTCATGACGGTAGGATACAGTCCAGCGTAGCTGAGGGTGGCCGGGTCCATGTGCTCTGGGTACGGGTTGAGGGGAATCACCTTCCTCTTGACAGGATCAAACACCAGCTGGTAGAGGAAGGTGTTGTTGGCTCTGATGAATCCCTCAATGTATTCTTCTGGGACGGTGATGTTCATCTTCAGGTACTGACCCAACTTCCTGATCACCTGAAGGGAACAAGAGCTCACAATAAAATGTCTGCCACTGCACCCAGTTACATGGTTTGACTGACGCAAAACCTTTTGTGCTACTGTGCAACTACTGACTCACTTTCTTTGTTCTTTAGTACTTTTGACGAATATTTGAATAATTAAAAAACTGGAATTGTGTAGAGAACTTTCTATTTTTTACAGTTTACATTTTATCGATTACCTTCAATATAAATATTGTGAAACCATATGCCTTAAAAAAAAAGTAAAACCTTTATATTGTGCAAGTGTTTTGTGTCCTATATATATATATATATATTTATAACATATAAGTTAGATTACAAGAACAAATCAACAACATTTAGAAAGAACAAATGAAATAAGAGGAAATATGTTGTTGTATCTCTTCCTGCATGAAGGGAGTTGTGTAAACTACTAATATTTCCAAGGTCAATAAATACATGTAATGCCACATTCGTTAAGGGGAATCATTTATACGAGTTATACAAATCTACTTAAAGAATACCTACCTTTAACAATACCAAATATTTTAATAAAGCAATAAGTTGGTTTAATTCAACTTTATGTTATTTAGTATCGCTTTAAATCTGTTGGACCTAGGATGCCATTTTTTTCATAAGCCGTTGGAAGATTGTATCCACTTTTAATCAATAGACTTAAACTTAGAAGCAGGTTTGGTGTGCAGCCATCCATGCTGACCTGTCCTTGTTTAAAGTGAGGTACCTTGAGGATATCTGGGTCTTTGGCCAGTCGGAGCAGCTTGCAGGCCTTGCCCAGGCCGATGCCATGTAAGGAGGCCAGATAGTCGCACCCAGAGAGGATGCACATGTGGCGAAACTTCTCCTCGGTGAACACATTCCCAAGAGAGCGGCAGCGGCCCATGTTGTCCTGGTCGATCTCCAGGCCATTGCCCTGCTTGTCCATTTTGAGGATCACCTGCATGATGTGAAAGTGATTTAGAAGCGGATGGCATTGTTTGTTTGTTTGTAGCCTTTATTTAACCAGGTGAAAGCCCCTTGAGATCAAAAGATCTCTTTTTCAAGGGTGACCTGCAGCACATTGGTTACACATGTAACATAAAACCAACAGAACAATAAGGACGACATGCAACATAACAGGGTACAGTTTACAAACTCTATTCACATAGGCATAGTGTGAGCAGAGTATCTGAGGCTATTTCTTAAAAGGTTCTTTTTGCTTCTTTCTAATGCATGGTTTGTTGCAAACAGGATGAACACTGAAGCCAACGCCCTTCTGATATCATCTGTGCTGGTTGGCCAACTGAATTGATCTTACACAAAGTAAGCATAGGAAATCTTATCTGCCATGCAGAATTGAAACTGGTTTGAATGATGAAAATAGGCAAAATACCAGTGCTCTTATCTCAATAAAACCAGCACAGCCCTGTTCTCTACATCTCGCTTTATTTATGCAGGCTAACGAGTCAATATAGGCTCAAATAACCTGCTTATTCTCATTCAGCCTGTTATGAAAACACAACCTCACTAATATATCTTAAAAGCAGCTTTAAAGCCTATGTTAAGTGTATTTCATTTTGCTCACAATATCCTAAACTACATTTAGTTAGATTCTCTTTTGTTGACAAACTTTTGGTTAGAAAGAAATGTACACGCAGAAGTCTTTGTTATACGAGTCATTTTTTGCTGTTCCTACATAACACATTTGAGAAGTGTTTAGGAAGCCTCTGGTTATTCTGGATGCTCTGAAAATATCTCTTAGGCCCACCATTGTTAACCTTTTTCCAACTCAACAATTCCAGGTAGCTCATACTCCTGCATTTGAGTAGATTTCATGCAATTGGCGGACCGAGTCCTCCTCTTTGAAGCTGTCTTGGACCTGTTGTTTTGTTTTGTTTCGCACCAGAGAATGGTTACTGCATTCACAACTTCTCAAACAAACCACAAACCACATCATGAGTTGAACTACACCAGGGTTTGGTTTGGGTATGTGGTCCACAGTTAGAAGTCTGGGGAATGATCCAGCAGAATGACAATTAGTCTGGTCTTTTAGATATGAATACAATTCCACATGAATTGAAAACCAGCTTCAAAGAACAAAACAAAGGCCAGGCTCATGTTAAATCGTCAACATAATCTGGATCATTCTAATCCACATACCAACCAAGGGGCTTTCCTTTTGAGCATCTACATACTTATGCAGCTGGAAATGCACCCTGGGTCTTGTACTCCTTACCTTCTTGCAGCCGAATGCCAGCAGGTCAGAGTCCTCTGTGATGACAGCCTGGGCCAAGCCATTCTTGGTAAGGTAAGCTAACTGAGCATCAGCTTCATATGGAGCCACCAAACAGTCCACTCCTCTCGCCCTTGCAACCTGGTTGAAAAAAAAATGTCATACATCACTTCCCCAACATGGAGCAACAACATGCTGTATGTGACCACAAAGAAGAAACCAAAGCATGCATTTGTGGGGTACAAAAGGCCACATTTGGTGAAGGTCTTATTTTAAGATTATACTTATTGAAGGCCATGTGTCACAAATTGATTTAAAAAAAAGAAAAGAAAAGAAAATCAATTGAAATGGATACTTGTGAAGAGATATTACAGATTCTAGTTTACTGTCTTTATAATCTACTCTATATTTTTGCAACTTTTACTTGTTTTGTATACTTTTGGTTGGTCCATTCTTTTTCAGGGGGATTTCTTTCAAAGCGTTCCTTTTCTCCACCTCTATTCATGAATCTTTTTCAGTGTACTCTTATGAGCTTGTATGTTATTGCCATGTTTGAATAGACTGCATGTTTCACAACTCAGAGAGTCTGCTATGATGTACTTGTAACCCGTTTGCCCCCTCCCCTATTGTTGCTACATGTTCTGTTAACATTGACTTGTTCAAATGGATAAATATTTAATATGTGAAGTTTAGAGCATTAAGAACTGTCATATAGTGCTTGTGGTATATTTAGTTCATACCATTATTGTGTACCGATATACAAGTTTTATAAACACTCAACATTATTACGGACTGACTTCTTGATCTTGGATTATATGAAGTAAGAATCAACCAATCAGGCCAGAAGTGGCTTGCATGTTTGTCAGACTCACATAACCAATGCAGACCAAGCTTTATAGCATTTTGTCTACATTTTAGCTACAAACATCAAAAAGATGTTATTTAATCCTCTGCATGGGAAATGTCAGTTTAGCTGGCCCACACTAAACTCCTCAGTCTACAATATATTTTTACAATATAAAAAAAGACAAACTCTTAAAAAATGCGAGGAGACTCTGAACCACTTCAGTGGGCAGCCCCAGAGTAAGACACTCATATAAGTATGTTATATAGGAGAGATAGGAAGTCCTCACCTTAATAAGGTTATGAGCCATTGGGGGGGTGATGTTCACACAGCGAGTGAAACAGTCCCTGGCTTCAGACAGTTTGCCTTCACGTAGCAGCTGCCGGCCTTTCTGAAGGTTGCTTTCTCTGCGCCTAAAGGGGAAAAGAAAGGAACTGAATAAATATTGGAACGCTTTACACTAAATCTCTTTAGCACAATACATTGTCAGTGTTAAAGGTCCCATGTCATACTTTTCCGGTTATCACCCGTCCCCTTGTGTTATGAAGGTTTTTCTGCATGTAAACGGTCTGCAGAGTTACAAACCCTCAAAGTACACCCTGTAGCGAGTAAAACTCTAACACAGAAAAGACCTGTCTATGCTGCCCCAGAACGCCTCGTTGGAGATTTCTCTTTTTCCATTGTTTTCTTCCTGGGTACAGTGACGTGCCCATACCCAAATGGACCAATCCGCGGACTTCCTCACACACACACACTCAATCTTTTCTCAGCTGCAGCTCCGCCGATTTCTCCTCCCTGAGACGGCAGGACGCGGCGAGGCTGGGAGTTTGTGTGTGAGCACACACACAAACTCCCAGCCAGGCTGCGGGTGTGTGTGTGTGTTCGGGCTGGGCTTCGCTGTGTCTCGCTGACGGCCACTGGGCTCATAGGGAGGGGGGGGCAGGAGCTCCAACAAGCCGTTTAGGACAGAGAGTGAATACACATACTATACAGAGATGCTGCATGAGAAACCAATGTGATTTTGGAACATTGAACAATGTAAATCTATTCTAGTAGACCTCAACAATGGAATTATGATCAGTAGAAATGGCCATGACATGGGACCTTTAAAAGCACACTTCAGATCTGTTGATCAAAACAGGTTCTTCATAAGGGTTGGAAACCCAAATAAGAGAGTCCATAAACACATCAGTCTCTACTTTTGCTTATGTACTATTAGCGAAAGCAGAGACTGATGTCTTTGTAGCTGACAAGGGGCTAAATAAGGGGACTCAATGTCATAACACCACAAATTAGCTGTCTTTAGCTAAGCGGTGGTGACGTGAAGTCATGTGACTGTGTTGTAGTTCCTAAGCCTCACGTTAACTTTTTACATCTAGCGATTGCATTTACACTATAACAAATATTTGAAAAGGGATGTTTATATGTGGAGATTATTCTGCTGAACAAAACAACGATCCAAATCAAAACTAACTAAAGAAAGTTGATTATTCCTAAAACTTAAGGCTATGTTTCTGGACAAATTCAACGACATAAATAAAAATAAAAGGCAACTGTCTGGAGGGAGTGATTGTGTGGCACCACTGTAAGCAAAGACACAAGTAGGACAGCCAGATAGAGCTCAGCTTCCTTGTTAAAGATAACAATGAGGTGTAGGACCTTGATGTTCAACTATTTGTTTGCGGGGGGTTGTTTGGTCTCATCTGTCGACAGGTCGGTACATTCCGCTCTGCACCTTCACACATAAACAATGTTGCTCTGTTGCTATTGTGGAATGCATTCCTTCTAATAAACCAAGCTTTGTTTGAGCGTGTTTGTTAGCAGGTATGCATACCACTGTATTATTGTGTTTGAAACAGGCCCTCAGTTATTCTCTGTTATGTTTCCGTTATAGTCACATTTCTTTTCTTTCATACAGGGTTCTCTGTTCATGGTGCAATTCTGCTGTAGCTCCTTTCCCAACTTTAGCTTCAGTATATGTTATTAGTTTTTAAGCAGATAAGCATACTCCACGACTGCCAGTTTGTAGCTGCTCACAGTAAATACACAGATAAGCAACATTATCTACAGGATGACAAGTGAAGATTGTAAAATGACCGCGTTGTTTGACTTGACATTGTTTTTGCGTCTTAAACTGCATGGATGGTGACTGGTTAGCTCAGAGTGAATCATTAGCTGTTAGCTCCAGATACCTGGTCAAGCCATGTCACCTAAGGAGGCTAAGCCATGGCTGACTTCCCAACACCTCAGCCTGTGAACCATGACGTCACTGGGCCTGGGCAACTGCAACACAGGCCTGCTTTCTACCTCTTCTTCTCCTTCTCCTTTCTCTCTCTGTACTGCAGTCTGTACCTTTGCCAGAGCTTGCCTGAAAGCGTGCAGTTAGCCATCTCTGCTAACGCATTGTACAACAATTCTGTGTAAGCAAAAGCTATTTTTGGTTAAACTGAAATGAGAATGGCTGGTCCACCTTAACATAGCCTGAGCCTTATAGTAGCCAACTTCAAGGCTAACCTTTTCGTATCTCTCCATCTCTAACCTATTCCTGTGTGTCACATTCTCTGATCACCGAACTCTGCTTCCAACGAGATGTGCCTTTGCCAGAGCTTGCCTGAAAGCATGCAGTTATCCATCAGTGCTCATGCACAGTACAAAAGTGATGTGCATGCAGCAGCTAGACTTCACAACAATGGGGGCAACAAGCAGTTAGCAACAAGCTAACTCTAGGAACATAATCTAGGGAGCTACCGGCTCCAAAAATAGCAACAACATATTACAATACAAAAAGAGTTTAACTGGTGTAAATGATCATCAATATTTGAATTTGATTGTAGGGGGTGAATAGTTTTGTGGAGAAAACCGCCCCCTTTAAGGTAAGACAGCTCACACCCATACTGTGTGTTTATGACTGTTGAAAATGTGTGATCAGTTTGACGTGCGCTTAGTTCCAGTTTGGGACATGGGGACGACCTCTGATGAGGAGAGAAGCCGACTGATGGCTTTACTAGGACTTGTGAGGTCGCAGACAATAATATGCATGTGTCATGTACCCAGCCATACACTTATGAACGATAAAGGTTAATACTCACTCTCTTCTAGCCTTTTCCACCTCTCGCTTTGACGGCAGATTGCGTCCATCAAACACCAAAACTGGTTTGACACCGAAGTTCAACAGCATGTCCACAAATTTCATGCAGTACCACACATACCTAGAATTGGATAAATACAAATTATGATATCAGTTCTAAACATTGAACCATTCTAACAATATTACTCATTAATAGAAAAAAAGAGGATATAGATAATATAGAAAAATAAAATAATTGGGTAATAACAGACCCACTAACCGTTAGAAAGAAAATATTTACCTAGCTATGAACACTTTCCTTTTCATTTCAGCTAGAATAATAAAAATGCTTACTGGTCAGTTGGTTCTCCTTTAGCGAGCTTCTCAGCACAAGAAAAGGCTCCTTTGTGCAGCCAACAGTATGTGTCCACTGCCACGGTCTGGCCTTTGTATTTTTTCACGCTGATAGGCTCTCCAGCATCTTTGATGAACTGCAGCAGGCCAGAGATCCCCATATTCAGCTGGTGATTTCAGCCACGCTGATTCTGAAACTGTAGAACAGTCAGAAATACTGATAGAACTGTTCGAAATTGAGCTATATTCACGACAAAAAACAGCTGCATACGGGAGTTTTCACACATGCCAAGTATGTGGACATTGTAGATGTGCTGCCTAGTGGTGCTGGCCATCTAGGCCCTTGGGTGACCTTTGCTGTCCAGCACTTCAGCTTTAGGACTGGAAGTATCAGTGGAGAGATGATAGGCAATAAAGAGAGAGAGGACAAAGGACATGCAACCTCATTTGCTCTTGAATCTAAGCAACATGTGCAGTCCACTGAAGACAGAGCTACTAACAGATTACAACTCCTGATCTATTGTTTTTTTTCCTGACAGAGACAGATTCGGTCTATTGTTTCACTCAAAGGGAAACGATTAGTTATGTATAGTTATTATTAGTTATTTTGTAAAACGGATACTTCATTTGCCCATTGCAGCCCTTTAACCGCATCCCGCCCAGCTTTAATGTATAGTAAACCCAGTTCCCTCATCTGAGGATTAACCCTAGCAAAGTAACGTAGCTGCCGTTCATCAAAGACAAGAGGGCTAAAGCTAGCAAACACAAACAACAGAGAATTGAGTTCTGAAAATTGAGTTTTCAGGTTACAAAATACCTACCTCCCAGGAACGTATGTGCGAAGAATTTAGCATAACGCCTCAAAAAGTATAAATACCATTTGTGTAACAAGACCTTTGTATGTTTGTTAGTAAGCAAGCGAACGTTACATTGGAAGTGTACGTTTACAAGTAACGTAGGAAAGTGACATCCTTTCTTTTGAGTTCAGTGTACTAGTTCCTGCTCTTACATCATTAGCTATTATGACAACATGACTTGAAAGGACTCTTCAGTATTTTCAGGTTCAGTTAGTGTCTTGATGAGTTGATCATATATAACCTTACGAAGTATCCTAACTGAACACAGTAGACAGTCTCAACGGTGCCTGAAACCTCTGTCCGTGTGAACTGTAAGCAGTCAAAGATGACACACATTGACCTAGACAACATGCAAAAGCAAGGAATGTAATGAAGTAAATGAAAAACTTACTTATTTTAGTTATTTTTAATCAAAACATTCAGGCAGCTTGGAACGGCAGAAACTGGAGCGAGTTTGGTTTTAGCGGCAAAAGAAGGATTTCCGTACATGAGCTGCTGCAATTGGCCGGATGGACCGAGAGGGAGGGATCAACGGAAGAAAAGGTGCGTTCCAAAACTGAACCGCTTCATCCGGCTACTCACGTTAACATGTTTATGTAGGCTAGTTACTAAAGACCTGTTTCTTGGTTACATTCTACAAGTCTCACACTAGCTGTTTCTCTCTGTTCATGACCTGATGGAGATAAAATAACATGGCCTTATGTGCAACCTTTAGCATGTAATGTTAGAGCTAGTGATCTCACCCTCGTCTTGTCGTCTATATATAAAATGCGGTACACTGGTGAATATATCAAGCATGCAAATGAGCATGGCGCTCGCAAGAGGAAGATGACGTCCAAAACAACAACTGTCTGATATTTTAATGATTTCTCAGGCGAACGCCTGGATGGACAATAATCATCAGAGGTGGACAAATTAATTAGATATATTGTACTTAAGGGCTGATTCAGAACGCCGCTGCTCGAGTCCTCACTGACACTAAGAAAGTGGATCACATCACTCCTGTTCTGAAGTCTTTACACTGGCTTCCTGTGTGTCAAAGAATAGATTTCAAAATACTGCTGCTGGTTTATAAAGCACTGAATGGTTTAGGCCCAAAATACATTTCTGACCTACTGCTAAATTATGAACCATCCAGATCTCTCAGGTCTTCAGGGACTGGTCAGCTTTCTGTCCCCAGAGTCAGAACTAAACATGGTAAAGCAGCGTTCAGTTATTATGCTCCAAATATCTGGAACAAAACTCAATTCACTTTTAAAAAACTCAATTCACGTACTTGTACTTTTTAATGTACTTTTTATTCATGTATTTTTTCTTTTAATGTTTATTTTATTCTTTTTAATGACTGTTTTTAAATGCCTTTGTCTGAATGTCTTTCATTTTTGTAAAGCACCTTGAATTGCCTTGTGTTGAAAGGTGCTATATAAATAAACTTGCCTTGCCTTAAGTAAAAGTAGAAGTACCAGAGTGTAGTAATACTCTGTTACAAGTACAAGTCCTGCAATCATATTGATACTCAAGTAAAAGTACAAAAGTATTGGCATCAAAATATAGTTAAAGTAGCAAAAGTAAAAGTAGTCATAGCTTTGTGAAGCACCTTGAGATGACGTTGTTTTTAAAGTGTGCTATATAAATCAAATGTATTATAGTCATTGTGCAGATTGGCCCATTTCAGAATAATATATATGATATGTTTTATAATTATTGATGCATTAAAGTGGTTTTATTACTTTGTATACTGCAGGGTAGCTTGTGAATTTACACCAGGTGTAACTAAAGTGAATTAAGAGTTGATTATATTTCACATTATTAATCCTAGATAGATAGATAGATAGATAGATAGATAGATAGATAGATAGATAGATAGATATCATAGATAGACATCATAGACAGACAGACAGACAGACAGACAGACAGACAGACAGACAGACAGACAGACAGACAGACAGACAGGCAGGCAGACAGACAGACAGGCAGGCAGATAGAGAGATGGATATATAGAAAGTATTTTTTTTTCACTGTACAATATTTAATTTTATATTCTGTTCTTGTGTTTCTTATTATATTTACATGAATATAGACTCATGCATTTACTTGGTCACTTACAACATTCTCAGCATTACTTAGACAACTGCCTACATTTTTTCTGACATGTATAGTTTACTTCATCTGCATTACTTGCACATTGGTCTTGCAATATATGCACTATTTTATTTCCACGTTGTTTCTTCTTGCACTCTTTTATTGTTTTTTAAATGTGTTTGATGTCCTATATATTGTGTTGCATTGTTGGAAAAGCTTGGGACTTGAGATTTTTATTGCCACATATCTACCCTGTAGTAGCTACTGTGCATATGACAATAACGCTTTTAAATGCATCATAAGACGCGTCTACTTTCTAATACAAAATGCCCATATTCCAGCTTTGTGTCACGACTTGAATGCATCATAAGACGTGTCTACTTTCCCAGCTTCCTCTGCACTTCCTGCTTTCACCGCAGAGGAGAAGTGGGACTGAACGAAAACAAAATGCGATAGTTTAACTTCACTGATGAGCTGGGGTCAATGACAGCGTTAACAACGCTACTCGGCATAATTCACCGACCTCTTATTTAAATGTCATATCTCTTAACCTAAGGCGTGTGGCATTAATATAACATTAAGCATGCAGTTTCCTCCCACCAATGGAGACTTTACGTTCGTCTCTTCGACAGAGGCTGAAGGTAGGCTAACCAGCAGAGCTCCACAGCTAGCAGGCCTCAACAGAGCTAACTATTCACCAGCACTATAACGTTGTGTTATTTTCTTTATTTGTTTAACTTTAACATAGCGCAATTACCAACCTACGAATTCATTCAGACACTGTTTTTTGTAATATTTAACACACTATTTAAATGTGCGAGCTATCTTTTAGCTATGCGAATGAGTAGCCGATTGATACGTGTCGTTCACTAAGCTAGCTTACAAACACCATTAAAACAATGGAAGCTTTATTTGATATATCTCACTGTTCAGGTGATGTTGCTATTAAAGACACACGTTATCCTTCAAATATAGCTCAATGACCATGCACAGTACGAAGATGGCCACAATATAACTTAAGTCCCACTCTTGTTTACACTGGCCACCACCTGACGTAGTGTGGGGGGTTCAGTGGTGTAAAGTAACTAAGAATATTTACTCGAGTACTGTACTTAAGTATCATTTTGTTGCTACTTTATACTTCTACTCCACTACAATTCAGATGTAAATGGTGTACTTTTACTCCACTACATTTATTTAGTACCTTTAGTTACTTTACAGATGTGGATGAATGATGTGAAATATAATCAAGTGTTAAATCCGACTTAAGTTCCACCTGGAGTAAATTCACAAGCTACCCTGCAGTATACAAAGTCATTCAAACTAGCTGCACCTTTACCAGCTTTGAGAACACTTTCATGATCAATCATTATAAAACATATCATATATATTATTCTGAAATGCACCAATCTGCTACTACTTTTACTTTTGGTACTTTTAACTATATTTTGATGCTCATACTTTTAGAATAGAATAGAATATAATCGGAGGGATGAAACCCCTCTTTAACGGTCACACATGCAGAGCACACAGCACACACAGTGACATGTGTTCTCTGCTTTTAACCCATCCTAGTACCAGGAGTCTAGTACTAGGAGCAGTGGGCAGCTATACAGCGTCCGGGGAGCAATGGGAGTGGGGGGATGTCCGGTGCCTTGCTCAAGGGCACCACGGCAGGGCCCAGGAGGTGAACTGGGACCTCTCCAAGTAGCAGTCCACACTCCATATTTAGGTCTGTTTGGGGACTTGAACCGGCAACCCTACGGCTCCCAGTCCAAGCCCCTACTGACTGAGCCACTGCCGGACAATTCTATTTTTACTTGAGTAACATTTTGAATGCAGGACTTTTAGTTGTAACAGAGTATTCCTACACGTTCTACTTTTACTTCAGTACAAGAGTACTTCTCCCACCTCTGGGGGAGGTAAGGCCAAATTAAATATACAGTAACTAAAACAAACATAACATAAAATAGACTCTTTATGAGTACCGAGAGTAGAGACTAAAGAAAGAACTACATTATTAATTTTTTTATGAATAGATGCTGTACAATGATGGTACTATACTGTTAGATAATCGAGATGGTGTCTTTAAATTGCCTTTCTTTGTGCAAGCAACAGTACAAGCCCAAATATATTCAATTTACAAGTAACGGCAGCAAACACTCACATTAATTATGATTGATAACCTGATGGTTTCAGCTTTAGTTCAGGTGGAAGTTTTTTTTCTTCTCCAGTACTGAGTGAGATAGTTATTTTATCAAAAGGGAAAATATAAGGGGGGGAAACTGATATTAGTGGGTCTTGCGCAAGATGGATTAAAAAATTGAAATGCCAAAACATTCATACTGTGTCGGCGGTATTTCTTCACACATCCTAGTGCTTAATGTTTTCCTTGTGCCACACCACTTAAACAAGCAAACATGTTTTCCACAGAGCTCAGCGGCACCATCAGTGCTCCGGACGTTAAGCTGAACCTGGGCAGTGACAACGGTAAAGACCCGTACGCCACCACCTTCCTGAGGCAGCGAGGCTACGGCTGGCTGCTGGAGGTGGAGGAGGATGAGAGTGAAGAGAGCAAACCTCTGCTGTGAGTTAGCTTTTTTAAACTTATGCTTTTTTAAATGCAGATTTATAATTTGAGTACAGGCTTTTTGTTATGGATCATCTGATCCCAGCCAGTGGTAGTGTTTGAGAATCTGGCTGTAGCTCACACAAGTCTTTTAATGGCTGCTACAAACCTTCATCAGAGTAACAGGGACCGCCTGTATACCAAGTGAATTCAAATGATCATGCATCTCTAGGTACAATTAGTCTTTCATTTAACACTGGTATCAGCAGGTACAGGACATTACAACAGCAAGGGTAACACTAAGGGCGTCTCTGCAGTCAACTGTACTGCAAACCAGTCAGTGCGGTTTGGTTCAGTCGCCATTGTTGAGAGAGGTGTGCTGCGTTCAGGACAGGCAGCTAGGCTAGCTCTCAGAGTGGAGTCAGGTTAGCAGTAAGCCATAAACGTAATTGTGAATATTCAGTATGATTCGTCAGAGAAAAGATTTTACAGCTCCTTAAGAACAAAGCACGACTCTGAGATGATTCGCTTTTAACTCTATAGGCGCATTCACACCGCAGTGCTTTTCCCACAAAGGTTCATCAGTACTTAGTTCATGAGAACTCTTTAGTTCTCATGAACTAAGTACAGATCGCGTTCACACCGGAATAAGTCCCTGGGGGAGGATTAGGCAAATGAAGCCGCTGACGTCACTTCGTCTTCTTCTGCTTTGGGTTTACTGGCAGGCAGCAAACAACTTCACGGCGTATACTGCCGCCCAAAGTCCCCGGCCGGAAGTCCCCGGAGTTGGGGACTGGCTTCAGTAGAAGCTGCTGGGACTCCCAGCAGCTTCTACTGAAGCCTTCAGAGTAAATCACCAGAACGCCGACACCTCCTCATCTCCACCGCTCCCATGTTTTCTTTTGTGTTGCCATAAGTTAGTCTCTCTGCGTTTGTGCGCTGGGCTAATCAGACATAGGAACCTTTTTCTCCCACGAAAGTACCTGCTCTCTAGCAGGGACGGAAAAGGGGGTAAAAAAGGTTCTGATGAACTCATTTTAGTTCCGGCTCTTTTTGGTGTGAACGCGGCATTTCGGAACTATATCGGAACTAAAGTGGGAAAAGTACTGCGGTGTGAACGCGCCTAAAGATACAGTGTTACTCCAGAGCAGTCTCCACTGTCTGTCCCCTCTGTAACACAGAGATATTCCTGTTTTAACGAACAGATAAGTGTTACTACTGAAGACGTCTCATTAACGCTACCTGTCATTTCAATGATTTTCTGTGGGTTGTTCACTACTTAACTGAGCAGCTCCACTGTTAGGATGGAGAGTCATGTGCACAGTTGTATTGAATAAGATATTGTTTGATTATCGTCACAGAGGTTAGGTGACAATTAGTTTTGATACTGATTTTAGGGGATGTCTCCCAGCCCTATGAAACAGTCATTGAACAGTGAGTCACAGAGGAAAGGTGCTGCTGCTGAACCACTTATAAAGCATGTTTTACTTTATGCCACATCCCAATTATTATCAACACCAAAAAGTGTCTGATGTTAGACGCAGAGACAAGTGACAGGTACATATCTTACATTAAGAAACAGCTGGACGTCAGCTCTGTTGATGAATGTTGTTGTGTCTGTGTGAAGGGAGGAGCTGGACATCGACCTGAAGGACATCTACTACAAGATCCGCTGTGTGCTGATGCCCATGCCGTCCCTGGGATTCAACCGGCAAGTGGTCAGGGACAACCCGGACTTCTGGGGCCCTCTGGCCGTGGTGCTGCTCTTCTCCATGATCTCCATCTACGGACAGTTCAGGGTGAGAAGGACACAAGGATGAGACCTGTGTCATCCCCATTCATACATTCAGTATGTTTCCCACACTGTTCCACTGCAGGACACACCTGTAACCTTGGTCCTTCCATAATATGAATGTTCTGCTTTTTATATTTTTCTCTTTATTTTACCGACTGGGAATACATAATGAGCCCACAGCGAGTTGAACTGTAAGAGGCTATTTGTATGTGCGGTTTGGCAGTTAAAGAAAATGGATGTGAAAAAGAGAACAGTACTTCAGAATTGGGGACATTGTTTCTTTCTGAATCAAGGGCACTGCTTAGGCTAGAACAATGATCCTATCAGTTTTCGGTTTCATCTTTTCATTTCCCCATGTTCTGTCCCTGTGGGGGTGTGAAACACTTTTTCTCGATGTGATGTCTTCTTGGTCCATACAAACCCAGTAGTACAATGATGGTGACCTTTTATTTTAAGATGTAATCAACCAATCCTTGTTTCGATGTAACAAAACATCTGATCAGCCAATATAATATAGCCAATATCTGAAAGTCCCCGAAAATATCATTTCTATTTGTGTCAGCTCCTGAGAAGTGCCGAATGTATCCTTTAGGAAGGCGTCCTTAAAGCGTGCAGAGGACAGTGGACACAAAGACACAATCTGTGGTAGTTTAGTTCCTGCAGTGGAAAAGAGCTATTTCCTCACTCACTGTTCAGAATCAAATACAGCAGAAGCTAATGAATGCTCATCTGTTTCATTCTTAAACTACATTTCGAAAACTTCAAATTGAAGACATTATACTGAATTGAAAGTCATATTTGTGGAGCTGTTCCTTGGTACCTATTGTTGATATATATAATATGATATGCATGTCAGTGAGTTGTTATAGCAACACGTTTTCAGTGCTGATGCTAAACTCTCAAAGCTTTTATTTGGCAGGTCGTGTCTTGGATCATCACCATCTGGATATTTGGCTCACTAACTATCTTCCTGCTGGCTCGTGTTCTGGGTGGGGAGGTAAGCAGCGGACACACAGTCATCTCCTCAGTCAGACATCACTGGACCTGTTCTCATGGAGTCCCTTTGTTCTTCTGCGCAGGTTTCCTTCGGCCAGGTTCTTGGAGTGATCGGATATTCTCTTCTGCCTCTCATCGTTATCGCTCCTCTACTTTTGGTGATTGGAGGGTTTGAGATGGTTTCTACACTAATCAAAGTGAGTCAAACGTGCAAAATGAAGGTTCTGAGTACTTTCTGAATTCTGTGAGGATAAATGGCACCGAAGAAAACCTGTTTTTGGTATAAGAAGATGATTATTGTTTGTAAAACACTTTTTTTATTATTGAATTTTCTTTTATTGGTATTTTGTTTTTTCCAGCAAAGGACAAAAGTGAACAATAATTCAAAAGAGAAAACTCAAAACAACATAAATGATTAACAATAATGGACATGTGAAATTGTAGTTAAACCCAATGTAGATTTGAACAACCTCTTGCTTTCTGACTTATGTGGAACATCTCAGATTGATGAATACATGTCATATTTCTGGTATTGTGTGCTCCTGTCTTTCAGCTGTTCGGAGTGTTCTGGGCTGCGTACAGCGCGGCGTCACTGCTCGTCGGAGATGAATTTAAAACCAAGAAGCCCCTCCTCATATATCCCATTTTCCTTTTGTACATCTACTTCCTATCATTATATACTGGTGTGTGACTGGATGAGTTTCACTTTTGGACATTTTCATGGACATGGACCCTGGAGCATGGGGGAGGATGGCTCAAAACAATGGAACGAGATTTCTTTTTAAAGTTGTTTATTTCTTTTTTAACTCTGTTAAATTGTAGAAGGTGGGGAGTAGGAAATATATATAATTGTAAATAGGTGTCCCTTGTCTTTGGTCAATAAAATGCGTATGCTTTTACAGCTTAAACGTAGCCTAACCCCTTAAACAGGATGCAGACGTCTCGTAAAACATCAGCAAGAAGTTACAGGGTTATATATTAGTTACATTATTTCATTTTTATTCATCATCCCTATGAAGAATTTGATGCCACATTTTTGTAATGCATATATTCATGCTTAAAAAAGAATTGAAGAAAAGAATGGGATGGTATCAAAAAGAGATGGTTTTGCATAACTTTTTCATTGCTATGCACTGTAATGTACAATGAAAACTCCATTTATGCTTTTCAGTTTTCACGGTCGTGTTTTCATTTCAAACCTTTATTTAACCAGGTGAATCCCATTGAGATCATCGATCTCTTTTTCAAGGGAGACCTGCAGCAGTTTTCTTAATTTATGGATTTCAGCAGCTGACGTGGGTCACTATGTGGTGCCTTGTTTTTTCACCCCTGTTCCCATTTAATACAGAGACCTAATCATGATCAATAATTACAGTAAATGAAAAGTTATTTGTTCCTTCAAAATCTGATATTTCCTGACTGAGTTTTTAAAATGATATACAGTAAGCGCAGTTGGCCACACTAATATATTAAACAGTTGTGTATACTGTAACAGGTTAGATTCATCCCAAACATCCCATTAAAAACTGTTAAGTCATGAGGTAAATGTCACTTCTGAGATGTCCACTATGGGGCGCTAGAGAGCAGTCACTAATTCCCCTGTTGCTGTACAGTACCAAACAAATGTTTGGACACCTTCTCATTCAAAGGTTTTTATTTATTCTAATATGTTTCTACTTTGTAGATTAATACTGAAGACATCACAACTATGAAAGAACACATATGGAATGATGTAGTAAACTAAAAAGTGTTGAACAATCCAGAATAGGATTTATACTTTCGATTCTTCAAAGTAGCCCCCCTTTGCTTCTCTCAATCAGCTTCATGAGGTAGTGTCCTGCGTGGTTTTCAATGAACAGTTGTGAGTCAATGTGTGGAATGACTTGCCTTCTTAATGTGTTTGAGAGCATCAGTTGTGTTGTGCAGAGGTAAGGTTAGTGCACAGTGGAAAGCCCTATTTGACTACTGTTGTAATCCATATTATGGCAAGAACCAGTCACCTCAGTAAAGAGAAGCGACCGTCCATCATCACTTTAAGAAATGAAGGTCAGTCGATCCGGAAAATGTTAAGAACTTTGAATGTATCCTCAAGTGCAGCCGCAAAAACCATCAAACGCTATGCTGAAACTGGCTCTCATGAGGACCCCCCCCCCCCCCCGGGAAAGGAAGAGCAAGAGTTACCTCTGCTCAGAGGATAAATACATCAGAGTTACCAGCCTCAGAAAGCACAAATGAAAGCACCTCAGCCTAGAGCCCACATAAATGATCACAGAGCTCAAGCAGCAGACAATCTCAACATCCACTGTTCAGAGGAGACTGCGTGAATCAGGCCTTCATGGTCCAATTGCTGCAAAGGTCCACTACTGAGGATGAACAAGAAGAAGAGAATTGTTTGGGCCAAGAAACACAAAGAATGGACATTAGACAGTGGGAATCTGTACTTTGGTCTGATGAGTCCACTGTTGAGATTTTTGGTTCCAACCGCCGTGTCTTTGTGAGACGCAGAGAAGGTGAGCGGATGGTTTCTGCAGGTGTGGTTCCCACCGTGAAGCGTGGGGGGGGTTGGGGGGTGACACTGTTGGTGATTTATTCATTTAATTTGAGTAACTTTAACTTTTAACATACTACAGATGAGGATTGGGGCAGCCGAACACAGTCAGTGCATATCTAAATAATAATATAGTACTGTACAATCCACAATGTACAAAAGTCAGGTCAAAGAAAATAAAGACATTGTTAAGATCGTAGATGTCTATAGCAATCCAATTTGTTTCCAGTATTCATCCCCCTTCTCCTGTTGTGGTCATTGTTGGTGATTTATTCTAAATGTAAGGCACACTTAACCAGCATGGCTACCACAGCATTCTGCAGCGCCATGCCATCCCATCTGGTTTGCTCTTACTGGGACCATCATTTGTTTTTCAACAACACAATGACCCCAACCACACCTCCAGGCTATGTAAGGGCTATTTGACAAAAAGGAAAGTGATGGAGTGCTGCGTCAGATGACCTGGCCTCCACAATCACCAACTCCATCCCAATTGTGGTGGGCTAATGGATAGTGAGGTGGGCTGAAGATCGGAAGGTTTTGAGTTCAAATCCCGCCAGGAACACCACCACTAGTGTGCCCTTGAGTAAGGCACTTAGTCCTTAGTTACTCCAGGGAGAATGTCCCTGTAATTGGTAATTGTAAGTCGCTTTGGATAAAAGCGTCAGCTAAATGAAATGTAATGTAATGTAATTGAGATGGTTTGGGATCAGTTGGACCTCAGAGTGAAGGAAAAGCAGACAAGTGCTCAGCAACTCTGGGAAGTCCTTCAAGACGGTTGGAAAACCATTCCAGGTGACGACCTCATGAAGCTGACTGAGAGAAGCCAAGAGTGCAAAGCTGTCATCAAGGCAAAAGGGGGCTACTTTGAAGAATATAAAATAAAATTCATATTCTGGTTTGTTTAAATTTGTTTTGTCAACTACATAATTCCATGTGGTCTTTCATAGTTTTGATGTCTTCAGTATTAATCTACAATGTAGAAAATAGTTTAAATGAATAAAAACCTTTGAATGAGAAGTTGTGTCCAAACTTTTGATTGGTACTGTTTATCGACTGTGGAACATTTCAATCAGGAAAATCAAATGATCTTGGTCATGTTGCTACGGCTGTGATTCAATATGAACATATGTACACCTTTTATCTCGAATGTGACATTTGGGGCAGATTGTAGACAATGTAGAGTTCCCTGTTTGTAAAGCTTCCTGTGTCATGGTAAAACATACACATAGCCTTCACACAACAACAAGAATCCACAAAAAGCATGAAAGCTCAAGGCCAAATTTGAAATACACTGTTAATAAACTCTATGAGTTTAGAAAGATTCCAAACAGTAATGGAGGATCCCATTCGAATTTTTTTTTTAAATGTTTGAATGGGATCTTATAGATAAGAGCAATAGCACCAACTTATAACTCCCCGGGCGTCATACATAATGGCAGCCCACTGCTCCTAACACTAGGATGGGTCAAATGCAGAGAAACCGTTTCGTTACATAGTACCTGTACTACGTAATGACAATAAGTTGAATCTTCTTCATAAACTTTAAAGCCCAATCACTGCAGAACTTTGCAGTTTCTGCCCCTTCTAAAGTGTGTTGCAATTTTGATGAATCCCAATCCCAAACCCCTAAAAAACATTCACCTGGAAGGACCATTGGACCCTTTCACTAAAGAATGGTTTTCATTTTGTAAATGATTGTCCCCTACAACGATAAAGCTGGGTATGCTTTACGGTGCTTTACCATCCGTTCTCAGTGTCGTCGCTGTTTTCCTCATAAATCTTTCAGATTGGGTAAAATTATAACATTTCGGTCCACTGAAAATGTCTTTCCGTTATCACCCTCTTGTGTCACATCTGGTTCCATAAAAACAGATTGGGACGGCCAAAACACCAACCTCAAGGCTTCCAAACAGTAGTCCAGCCCAGGGCCGGTTTTTGGCATAGTTTTTGGCGCCAGATCTGGGGGGGAAAACATAATTTTGATCGTTGGCGCTCATCCTAATTTTCGTCCTTGATGTAACAACATTCATAATTAAGTAAATGTAACACCCTTTTCACCCCGGTTACACTTTTCATTTGCCCTGTACGATGGGCGCTGTAAGTGATGAAAGTGGGGGATGTCATGTTGGCTTATCAGGCGCCCGCAGCTCACAGCCAAAGTGCCAGCGAGCGAGGGAGAGAGAGGGAGAGAGAGGGAGAGAGAGGGCGCACCGGTACCGGGGCTTGTTGTTATTAGCATCTGGTGCTAGCTTCGCTAACGGATATAAGAAGATGTTTCTACAACAAGGTGGAGGAGAGCTCTCCGGAGTCCTGTCAGACTGAGAGGCTCAGGGAGGTAAAGGACTCTGAGTGTTTAGATAGTTAACTTTAGTCTAAGTTATCTCAGTGGGTCTCAAACATTTTTATCACAATTTATGTAAACAAATATTTCCAAGGCACGCCTTATAATTATTGGGATACACAGGTTTGCAATCATTCCAATACTATAGGACAGTAAACCAAAAATATCATTTAAAACTGGAGAGATAAAAAAATATGCACAAATAAATAAATAAATGTTAACTAGGTAAAATAAGATATGAATGAACAAGAAAAATAAAATACGTTACATTTATTTGTTATTGGCTATGGTAGGTTATTGGTTATGTTCACATACTTATTTGATTATTAAAATGTAAAACGATCTTTTTCATATGGGTGTTTAGAGTTGTACCCCCTAGATCAGGTCTCAAGTAATTGTGTGCTCAAAGTGCACCAGATTGCGCTAGCAAAAATCTCGCCTAGGGCAGCAAATTGGTTAGCACCGGCCCTGGTCCAACCTCCTGTAGGCCTACCGTCTATGCTCCTGTCCTAGTGGTAAGCCAATTCCATATACAAAGAACATAGATCACTTGGACACAGGTAGTTTTACTTAGGAAGATGCTACTGAGTTCTCGTCTTGTGTATAGTGACTGTAAGGTTTCATACACACAAATCCTTGAAACGGAGAAACATATAGCAGGTGAAATCAGTGGAGGATGTCATTGACTCATTACATTTAATTATACCAATCAGCAGCAATTTGAAGATTTTGAAGCAATTTGATATGAAAGGGCTAAACTCTTTCAGTGCAATCTATCAGTTTTTTTGTTGAATTTAATGGCTAAGGTACAAGTGAAACGGGGGGGGGGGGGGGGGGGGGGGGGGGTTCAGTTTTAGAAGGAATATTTATAGACTTTCTTCTGTCCTGATATCAATGGGGGGCTCTTTTACACCATTTTGGAGCCAGGATTGCAAACATGTTTGTATTGAGGGGTAATTGGGTCCAACTCGCTGTGAGGGAGCAGCAAGCTTATTGGCTGATGCAGAGTAAAGTGCACGTGCTGGAGTGAACTATGGTTTAACCATGGGCTAGATCCCTTCTCAGGCCAATACATCAGCAGAGCGCTAAGAGCAACAACATCAGTCTGAGAGATTAAATAAGCAGGATATAGAGGTGAGCTTCTTCCTGTTTATTTCCCTTTCTTTCAATTTTCAGGATTTTTTTTTTTGTACATTTTTTTTAAAATTCTCTCTCAGTTTCTGAACAATACAAAACATTCTACAGCAAATCCACAACTGTGGTGGGTCTCATCAGCAACAACGATGAGACCCACTAGGAGGAGTAGTATGAAGCTGCAGCCTCGGAGGCTGCACTCTCAGGACCACACTCTCAGGACCACACTCTCAGGACCCTAGTTGTTTTGCAACATCGCCACCTAGTGAGCAGGAGACATGAATATGAACGACAACGCAGAGAGTGTGAGTAGTGTGAAGTGCTTTTAAAGTTTTATTTGTTTAACATTAATAACAATTCCGGTGTCTTGAAATGAAGTG